CTTAGCGCTGCCACAGAGGCAGGAGAGGCTCCCACCATTGCCACTGTGCTTGCCATCTGTGAGCCCAGCTTCTGGCTGAGCAACGCTCCCCCAGGGGGCACACGCACCACCAGGGGGCAGCTCCTGCATTGAGCTGGTGGTCAGTGTGCATCATAGTGACCAGTCGTTCTGCCGTTCAGTCGACTTGCATATTAGCCTTTTAGCATATAAGAAGATATCCTATCTAATAAAGAGGGAATATGCTAATTGACCCTCACACCATTGCAAAGATGGCAGCCCCCACAGCCAATAAGGAGGGAATATGCTAATTGGCTTCCCCACCCTCAAAGATGGCAGCACCCACAGCAAATAAAGAGGGCATATACTAATTGACTGCCCCGCTCTCAAAGATGGCAGCCCCCACAGCTAATAAGGAGGGAATATGCTAATTGACTGCCTCTCCCTCAAAGATGATGGCATCCCTAGCCACAAGATGGCGGCGCCCAGTCCCCTCAGCCCCTCAGGGGGGTTAGTGAGGATGACCAAACAACTGAACAGCAGGCTGCGTGGAGTGACCAGGTTGGCGGGGGGGGGGGGCAGTTAGGGGCAACCAGGCAGGTGAGCCAGGCAGGTGAGCCAATAAGGAGGGAATATGCTAATTGGCTATGCTATTAGGAGCCAGTGGTCCAGGATTGTGAGAGGGATGTCCCCTGAGGGGTCCCGGATTGGAGAGGGTGCAGGCTGGGTTGAGGCGATCCCCCCATGCATGAATTTTGTGCACTGGGCCTCTAGTTTAAATATGTTTTTATTGATTTTAGAGAGGAAGGGAGAGCGAGAGAGAGATAGAAACATCAATGAGGAGAGAGAATCATTGATTGGCTGCCTCCTGCACACCCCCTACAGGAGATTGGGTCTGAAACCCAGGCATATGCCCTTGACCAGAATCAAACCTGGGACCCTTCAGTCCTCAGGCTGACGCTCTATCCACTGAGCCAAACCGGCTAGGGCTATACATATATTTATATCAGTCCCCTAGGTTACTTTATTTTTTCCATCTTTACTTAGATATAACTGACCCATAGCACTGTGTAATGTTAAGTGTACAGTATTTTTATTTAAAACATTCATTGATTGTAAATGCAAAATGATGAGCACTATAGGGTGAGCTAACATCACAGAATTGCCATTTATTTATTTATTTTTTTGTGGTGAAAACATTGAAGCTCTGTTCTCTTAGCGACTCCCAAGTCTCTAACACAGTGTTAGTCGCTCCAGTCCCCCGGCTGCGCATCAGGTCCCGGAGCTTAGCTTATAACTGGAAGTCGGTTCCCCCTTGACCAGCCATCTCCCCATTACTCCTTCCCCACCCGCACTTACGCACCTGGCTGTACCCCCTGAACAAGTGCATCTCCGGGATGCCCGCATGCTCACCTCACTCCTGACGTGGGGAGGGGGGGAGCCCTGCTGCTGGGAAGAGCCATTTCTGGAGTTGGCATGGGCCCCTGGAACCCGGGGCCCAATGGGCCAGATGCCCCCTCCTTGACCCTCCTGCAGACATACCTCCCCGTGCCCTGCTCACCCTTCACAGTGCCTGGCTTCCTCTTTCCTATCTAGTGGGGACTCTAGTGTCCTTTGAGACAGACTTACTAAGAAGCAACATTCCTTTTGCTGAATAACGAAAAGCAGGAAATGCTCTATAAAAGGAAGTGAACGCATCAGAGAAACTCAAAGGCGGTCTGGACAGGCAGAAGGTGCAAGCGGGGCCCAGGCAGAGCTCTGGGTCCAGCTGGCATCGCACTCGCCGGTGGAGGTCGCAGGGCCGAGGAGCCGGGGAGCAGGACCATGTGGCTGCCCCCAGCTCTACTCCTTCTCAGCCTCCTAGGTGAGTGCAGCTGGGGCCTTGGGAACTTGGAACTGCAGGGGCAGGACGGGGTGCAGACAGCAGCTGTCCCGGGTACCACGGGAGGGGGAGGGGGGCGTCATGTCTGGGAAAACGAGAGGTGGCTTTGTTAATTCATTGAGCAAAAGCGCACCAGGGACCTGCTTTGTGCCAGGCAGGCATCAGACCCTGAGGACGCAAAGGGAAAAGAGACATAGGACTGGTCGTTAAAGAGGGGACCCCAGAGGGCTCAGTGGGTGAGGCACACAGACGGACAATAACTGTGGCAGGACACGGTAAGGCATGATGGAGGCGTGCTCAGGAGACACCGAGGAACACATGCGCTCACACGCCTGCACAGTCACACACAGACCGCGCACTCTCCCTCATACGCACCCTCCCACACAAACACTTCTCCCCCAGACGAAGGCCGAGACCCACCATGGCTGACCCGTGGCTTGGGGATGGGACTGTGAGTTACCTTAGAAAGGGGGTGCCGTTAGGCAAGGATGAAAGAGAAGCCGCCCCCCGAGTTCTCACCTACAGACTGCCACTGGCCACAGAGGCGGGGGGTGGGGTGGGAGGTGGGGGGGGGGGGCTACCTCTGTGAAATACAAGAGGGGAAGGTGGGTGAGGTCAGAGCAGCCCAACTTCTGCTAAGACGTTGACGTATCTGCTCGGTTGCATAAGCCCCCCGACAGCCCCAAGGCAAAGGCAGGGCGCTGGGTAGAGGCAGGGCTAAGTGTCTGCAGGCAGAAACCCAGACCCCCTTCTCCCAGGGAGGGAAGTGGGGCCAGACGGCCAGGCGCGGGGACCTGTGCCCCAGAAGTGACTGCAGCGCTTGGGCTGGCAGGGCCCTCGGGGTGTCAGCTGAGACGCCTTGCGCAACAGTGGCCATGAGACAAGCGGCCACGCCATCGCGCACCCCACGCTCCGTGGGCGTCTCTCGCGGAGCTCCCAGTGGCTGCCTTTGCCTTGTTTGGGGTGTCGTTTGTCTCCTGCTACCAGCCCAGCCACGAGCTCAGCCATTTCCCAATGTTGGGACAAGACTGTTCACACGAGGATGTGGCGCATGGAGCAAATTTCCCCGAGCGATGGACGCAGGAGGGAGTTTCTGTCTCAGATTCATGAACAATTGAAACGCACACGACCGGGTGCCTTGAAACCCGCCAGCCCCGTTCCCCAGCGCCCTGCTCCTGGCCGACGGCTCTCCTGTCCTCTCTCCCTCTCTCCCTCCGGACACGCAGGAGTTCACACAGACCTAACGATTCTCCCACCCATCAGAAGCTGCGTTTATGAAACTTCCCACGTGTTTTTAAAAACATGAGCCCAGTCCCGTTGTGAGTGGCTTACATTGGCCGCATCTCCAATCCGCGTCTGGTTCCCGCACTAACTATCACATGACACTGCAACCAGCCTCCTTAGCTCTGCTGCCCAGTGAGGTGGAAATTCTAGTTAATCTTAGAATCAAAACGACTCTGCCCAAGATCTTTTCAAAAACAATCATAAACTGGATTGGTATCTGCCAGGATCCCGACTCAGTGCATGACACAGGGAGGGACTGGGGTGGGAAGAGAGAGCGAACCAACATGAGATCCCTGACCTTCGGAGGGAGCATCCCAGCAGGGGAGACAGACAGATGATCAAGTCCCACTGGCTGGCGCTCAGCTTCCAGTAAAGTCCGCGGGAGGAAGCAGATCTGGTTGGGAAGGGGACTGAGACTCAGCAACGAAGGCGTCGCCAAGGATGACGGGCAGGGGTCAGGCAGGTTTCCAGGGGGAAGAAGGACCGGAGCAATGACCCAGCCGCCTGGGAGGACACGGCAGAACCTGGGGGCAAGCAGGGTCACAGGGGAGAGCGGGAGGCAAGACGGCGCAGGGGGTGGCGCTGGGCAGGGACCTGGGACCCAGGCTGCAGGAAGACGAGTGCCGAGCTCCAGCATTTGAAATGGTTCTGAGACTGTGGGGAGCGGCTGAGTGATCCCACCATGTCTATGACCCGCATCCTTTCTATCCATTAGGGACAGGTCAGAGGTCAGAGTGAGCACCCCTAGGAAATGAGAACCAAAGAGGCCAAGCATTGTCGCTGGGGGAGCCAATGGGGAAGCTGGATGGGGGAGAAAGTAGATGTGAGGGGCCAGCTGAAGGGGTGGCTGGGAAGGCCGGGATGCTGGTCCAGGGCCTGGGCATCAGCCTGGAGCCCCCTGAGCCCAGGTCAGGCCTCGCTGGGGGTGAGGGGGGAAGAGGGGCAGTAGCTACATCCTGGGATTCTGTTTTCCAGGCTGTTTCTCCATCCAAGGCCCGAAGGTGACGAGAGGCCTTGAGGGGGGCTCGCTGACCGTGGAGTGTCGCTACAAGCCAGGGTGGGAGACCAACAGGAAGTGGTGGTGCCGGGGAGCAGACTGGTATGATTGCCAGATCCTCATTCAAACCACATCATCGCAGCGAACGGTGCAGGGGCCCCGGCTGTCCATCAGCGACAACCAGAGGGACCGCGTGATCTCGGTGACCATGTGGGGCCTCCGGCGCGACGACCAGGGCACCTACTGGTGCGGGATCAAAAGGTTGGGCACGGACCGTGGGACACGAATTCAAGTGATCGTTGTTGGCCCAGGTGAGAACTTGCTCATCGCTACTCCAAGGCCCTGGTGCTCCGGCTGCCAGAGCGGGGGCGCCTGCCCCTCCTTCCAGGGGCGGAAGGGAAATGGCCCCGTTCCTGGGAACCAGTTCCTGGGAACCCGTGCATGTGAGCGAGTGAAAGGCAGACACACAGATGGACAGATGGGGAGGGAAGTGAGAGAAATTCGGGCTGGAGCCCGAGAAAGACAGGGGCTGCCGCTGGGTGGGGTGGGGCCAGAGAGGACCGACCAAGCCAAGCGTCCCCGGGCCGCCCCGGAGGAGAAGCCGAGATCTGTGGGGACACAAAGCGATTGACTAACACGTGAGCGGAGACAGGGTGGGCAGACGTGTGCCCACGCGGAGCTTTAGGGAGAAAGGCGTTTAGGGGTCTCGGGCACCAGCCCATGAGGAGACCATGGCCTCAGCCAGGAGCCACCCACCGTGGCCAAAGGTGGGGCCTCACGGAGCAGAATTTGCCAGGCCTGGGACTCAAAGGTTCACCAGGGATGCCGGTGCCGGCTGGTCTCGGGAAGCCAGACCCAGCTGCTCGCCTACAGCGTCTCACAGGCTCAGAAAGAGGTGCCCTTCCTCGTAGTCGCTGTTCACTGCTGAACTGAAATGCACCCTCTTATTCACCAGCCTGCGGGGTGCTCCCTGCCCTCGTCACCCCTGGAACGGGGAGCCCCATTTCCAGAACCATCTGTCCCTGAGCCTGCTCAGGCCCTGCTTGAGCAAAAGGCCCAGGGCTTCCCCCCGAAACCAGCCGTCCCCCTTAGAGAGGCCGTGGAGGGGCTGGGAGACATGAGCTCTCCTCAGAATGAGCCCCAGAGCCTGCGCCCACGTGGCTGTTACTGCTTCTCGCTGCACCTGAGCGGGGGCGCCTGCCCCTCCTTCCAGGGGCAGAAGGGAAATGACTGGGTGTTGGGTTCAGCTGGCGCAACAGACAGCGGGGAGCCCCATTTCCAGAACCATCTGTCCCTGAGCCTGCTCAGGCCCTGCTTGAGCAAAAGGCCCAGGGCTTCCCCCCGAAACCAGCCGTCCCCCTTAGAGAGGCCGTGGAGGGGCTGGGAGACATGAGCTCTCCTCAGAATGAGCCCCAGAGCCTGCGCCCACGTGGCTGTTACTGCTTCTCGCCGCACCTGCGAGCGACGGAGGCCATGACTGGGTGTTGGGCTCAGCTGGCACAACAGACAGGGGGAGCCCCTTCTCTAGAGAGGACGCTTCCTGATGGGGGCTGGTGGTGTGGGGGGCAGTGTGAGCCACGCACCAGCCCTGGTCTGTGTCAATAACCCTCAGCCGACTTTGTTGTGTCTAGAAAACCTGTCATCCTGGACGACCGCCAACAGCACAGGGGTGTCCTCTGGCTCCCGCGTCCGGTGAGTGGCTTGGGGGCTGCGTCCCAGCACTCACCCACCATGGCCGCGTCCCAGCCCACAACCACCATGGCTGCGTCCCAGCACTCACCCACCATGGCCGCGTCCCAGCCCACAACCACCATGGCTGCGTCCCAGCACTCACCCACCATGGCCGCGTCCCAGCCCACAACCACCATGGCCCCTCCCAGCCCTCACCCACCATGGCCGCGTCCCAGCACTCACCAGACCCGGCTGTGCTCAGTGCTCCTCCATCAGCGTCACCCTGGTCGCTTGTCGACAAATAAAGCCTCCTGACCCGGCGGGGCCAAGGGGCGATCAGACACGAACCTCCACGACCCAAGGCTTCAGGCCTCAGAGCAGGAGGGAGACTCCGGGGAAGGAAGCTGGGCCTGGTGCAAAGCAGAACCAAAGAGCTGGGGTTGCCTCTGAGGAGCCCTCCTGGTTGAGCCGCGGAGGAGCTTCATGGGGCCTTCAGGCTGGGCAGCCGGGCCGGGGTCGCAGGCTTGGCTGGGCGGGCGGATGCCCGAGTCAGGGCGCTGGGGGCGACGGGGCCTGGAGGGCCGGCGCTGACTGCTGTCCCCGTGACAGGAACTACTACCTGCTCCTGGTGTTCGTGAAGGTGCCACTCTTACTCGTCGTGGTCGGCGCCATCCTCTGGCTGAAGGGGCCCCCGAGGGTCCCCGAGGAGCAGTGGGAGCAGTCCATCCACACCAACCTGGCCTACGATCTCGCCGGAGACGCTACCCCTTAGACAGACGGACAGAGGAGAGACACTTGGGGCGCTGGACCCCGTTTCCAGAGGAGACCCGGGCTGGGAGGCACGCTCCTGCGAGGGTCCCCCAGTCCCCTGCCCGGCACAGCCAGGTACAGGGCTCGGACCCTCCCGACTGGGCAGCGCTGCTGGAGGGACACACCTGTTCCCACTTCTCCGGATAGAACACAGCCCGGCCCTCCCAGCCCAGCTGGGTCCACTGATGGTCAGCAGCTGTGGGAGGGAGCCCACGTTGGGACAGTCGTGTCCTCACGGGAGGACCTCAGCACAGAGCTGGGGAGTGAAGCGCAGAGAGAAATGACAGGAATGTGCCAGAAGGAGAGACAGGGCCAGTCCCCGGTTCCGGCCGGTCCTGGGGCCAGCTCCACACCCTGTGCCTGCTCTTCTGATATAAGTTTAGGGCTTTAACCTCTTCCTGTAGCTAATCAGGTTGGGTTTCGATGGCTCTTTCCATGAGCGCACTGACTGATACACACACAGGGACAGGAGTTTGCGGGGTTCCTGGTCTGGGGCCTGAGAGACTGGACGTCCCCTGGGCCTGGGGAGGACACTGCTCCGAGTTCACGGGGCTGAGGAGGGTCGGAGAGCCCAGGGCTGGCCTTCCGTCCTCCTCCCCACCCTCCTCCCGCAGCCTGGCTCTCAGCACAGCTGCTCGGCCTCCCTGGGGCTGCAGCCTCAGAAGCTACCTCAGGCCTGCGAGGGCGGCCATAACGCGGAGGGGATGGGTCTCTTTCCAGGAAAGCTAATAAGCTCCATTAAAACCGTCTGCGGAGCCAACGTGCCTCTGCAAAGCGCCTCCCTCCCAGACACCACCGCCTTGGCTGTGCCACGTGGGTCGCGGGTCCTCACACCAAGGGCATCTGCACGGGAGGAGGCAGTCCCATAGGGAGGTGCCCCGGGCAAACACACGGGCACCGTTTGGAATCTGTCCCGTTGGCTCTTTCTTTGCCCAGCTTACTGAGGTGTGACTGACATACAAATCACATGCGTGTGAGGTGTAAACGCGATTTTTAAAAAGTGCAAAACATGGTGAAGGCAGGGAGCGGGGGCGGGCGGGCTAGAAGGGGTCAATGGGAGGAAAAAGGGACATGTAATACTTTCAACAATAAAGATTTTTTTTAAATAAACAAAACACAAAAAGTGCAAAATAGGATGATTTAATGCGCATCACATCGTGAAATAATAACCACAGCCCGGTCGATACAACCGTCAGCTTGCTTAGTTGTCTTCTTGGCTTGTTTCTTGGGTGAGAAGATTCATCGACCCGCCCAGCGCATCTGAAGTGTCCCCCCCAGGCCGCCGCCCGCCGACCCCC